ACTGTACTGACTCCCAAGTGTAGTTTGTTCTTCAGGAATGTGCCTCCTATAATGGACCAACTAGCAAACAACTCAATGGGTCTGCAGCTCCCTTTGGTGGATATAATGAAAAGGAGACTGGACGTTGAGTTCACCATTGCCCATGGGACTGAAGCCCTTATTGACCCACCCTCCCTCCACTCCAGCGCCTGCTCTGCTAAGAGTCATGAGTGTCAGCCATCCAGTGGGCCGAAGTCTAAGACTAATCATGACTGTAGGACTCAGACTTGGAACCTGGCCCACTGGATAGGGAAAGAGTCTAAAGAATCTATAACTGCAGCTTTGTCCAGGAAGGGTGCGGAGTTTCAGAAAGAGAGAATTACGGAAGGAGGTGGGGAGTCCTAAGCATAGGGACCCAGGTTGGGAGTGGGGAAAGGTTTGTAGGGGATTTGCCACTCCAAAAACCCCGGGTGGTTAGCAGAGTGTGGTAGGCTGAATAACGGTCATGAAAGATCTCCCCGTCCTAACCCCTGGGACCTGCGGGTCACCTTATGCGGCAAAAGGGGCTTTGCAGATGGGATTAGTTAAGGATCTTGAGATGGGGAATAAACCCAGATTATCCAGATGGGCCCCAAATGTAATCATAAGTGTCCTTTTAAGAGAAAGGCAGAGGGAGATTCCACAACAGAAATGGAGAAGGCAGTGTAACTACAGAAGCAGAGGCTAGAGTGATGACAAGCCTAAGAAGGCTGGCAGACACCAGAAACTTTGGAAAAGCGAGAAAATGGATTCCTGCTGGAGCCTCCAGAGGGACCAGCCCTGCCCACGCCTTGACTTTAGCCCCTTGAAATTTATTTCAGACTTCCGGCCTCCAGGACGGTAAGAGAATAAATTTGCATTTTTTTAAGCCACCAAGTTTGTGATGATTTGTTAAAACAGCCATAGGAAACCAATACAGGGACAATGTGAATTAGCAAGAAAGAGAAAACTATTTTATCAAGTGCTTTGAATGCAAAAATATGGGGAAGAGATGGAAGAGATGTGCGGCCTGCTTAGGGAAGGCTCTAGCAGAAGAAAAAGAGGGCGGAGCTGCTTCAAGAGCTGCCTCTAAGCATGAAAGAGGCAGTGATGATGAGGAAAAGGGTTTTTTTAGTGAAGTTTTACTGCGCTTTGTGAATTACACCCATACCCATTTTGGCATGCTCTCAAAAGACTGGGAAAAGGTAGCTTTTCAGTTAAAATGTATTTCTGAGGGAATGGCATTTCTTTTGATGTTAATGAGTCGGTTCAGAGGTATCTGGATTTTATCCTGGGGACTTTAGAGGAACTTTTGGATAAGGTATTTGGCTGCGTTTGGAATTCAAATCATCTTCCTAGCCTAGCTCAAGAGAGCATTTCACCACGACTTCCAAATTATTGGAATAATGACAGAAAAGAGTGCCACATCCATTAGACAGGCTGCAGTCATTTGGGGCTGTCTCCTTAAAGCCAAGAGGATGGAGTGGAGGGGACCACACCAAGGAGAAGTCACCTATGGGATTCAGTATTTTTGTCAAAGAACCATACATCTTACTCTTCATTTACATGAAGACTAGAAACTCTCCCATAAGAAACAAGAGATTGGTTTTTAACCTGCCTCAGTGGAGACTCTTCCTAAAGAGAGGTCAGGGGTAGGTGTCCGCAGTCTAGTTGGAGGCATCTGACCAGTTCTACCTGCAGAGACCAGCTTCCCGGTGAATCTGCCTAACCATTGCTATTTGCTTCCTGAAAATGAAAAAAATTGTAGGACGCGCTATGCTAAGGAGACGAAGGGAGAAAGGATGATTTTTAGTCATGGTTAGAGTGTGTCCCTGAAATGACAAGAGGATGAATAGACTTGGAAGATTGAGAAGTGAGAGTCCACAACGGCTGGTATTAGAGGTTATTTCTAGATTTGATGACAGACAGTCTCACTGCCTTAGGCGGACAATACGGCAAGGTGGAGGATAGCTCAGATTCATAACTTGAGTTCCCAAACACTAACCAACAAGACAGACAGAAGTAAAAGGCAGCCTAGAGTGAAAGCCGAAGGTCAGCTCGGCTTTAGGTAGGAAAGACTCAGTGAATTCACCACCTTCCTCTTGACACTGAGAACACAGACCTGGGGGGTGGGGGGTTAAAAGTTGATACTGATGCGTTTACCCACCTGGAAAATTTCAAATTCCCTAGCTCCTCATTTTCATAGACCAAAGCTTGGCTAGCATGTAGGCTGAACATAGCCTGTCTTCCATGGCAGCAAGAGAAATCTTATCTACTTAGTGCAAAGGAAAAACAAAAAGTGGAAGGAGTTACGTGTGGGAAGAGGACTTGGGTCCCACAGAGAAAAAGTGATCTCCTCTTGTGAAGAGTGTGAATTTAACAAAGAAAAACGTATAACAAGGTAGAGAATTCTATCCATCAGAATTCAAGCTAATACTCCTAATCGAAGAGATCAGACCCCAGGAGGACTCTGCGTCCCAGGGCACTGGACACAGAAGGGGATGGAGTAGAAGGAGCAAGCCACTTTGAGGTGTGATTCAGTCAGAGTGTCTGAAGAAATAGGTGACAGATAGGTGACAGTCTAAGGGTTAAGTGGAGAGGGTAATGAAGGGGTTGTTTGCAAAGGCGTAGCTGGAGTCCAGAAACAAGGGAGGACGAAGCATCAGCAGCCAGCAGCAGTGGAAAACCACCGTTTCACCTTGGCCTGGAGGGGCAATGGGGGTCTGAACTGGAGTTTCCCCAGAAGCAGAGGATGCTACAGGATTCCCGCGTAAGCAGTTAATGTGAGAAGTGACGGAAACACCAGAGGGAAGTGAGGACGTGAGACCGGGAAGGAAGGAACGACTGTCGATAAAAGGCAGCAAACTGGAACCACTGGTGGCAACTAGAAATGAACGTGATGGACAGACTCTGGGTGGCGGGGTCAGAGAGACGCGAGGTTAGCCACCTCATGGTGCAGGCCAGCGGAGCCACTGCAGCCCCAACTGCGGATGGAGGATCCACCCAGCCTGGGGAGTTAGAGCCCAAACAGGGTAGAAGGACATCCATGGGGTGGGAGAGGTCAGCCGGAGGCACCAGAGCCCAAGCTGGCCAATTCCAGGCCTGGGCAGCCGGGAACGAGGAGTCAGAGCCCAGGCTGGGAGAGGAACCACCACGTGGGGAGGGCACGCAACCAAGATGGGAGAGGGTTCACACCGGGGGATCCATCAAATAAGTAAACATAGTCAGGATAAGAAGTCGAGTTTCTCACTGTCATAAGAGGAACAAATAGTAGAAAGGAAAAAATCTAGAATGAACCGTGTGGTGTTGTATTTGAATTAAAGGCACAAGTGTAAACTCGTGGATTTCAACATATATATGTAGGTGCAGAAATAAAATAGATGTAAATATGTGTATGTATGCACATATATGTATATATGTTCATGCATATATATATACACATTTCCATCTATAATTATACATATAGGTATGCATACATATATGCACACATTTACATCTATATTTAAATATACAACATATTATTTATGTATATATATTTGTATACACACATATATGCACACACATTTACATCTGTATCCCAGTGCTGCCCCCTGAGGGGCCTAGGAATAGGGAAATCCCAATAGAAATGAGCATTTACTAATGCCTGCATCTTGGCTTCTAAAAACCATTGCCCACTCAAAGAAACCAGGGCTCCGTGGAGAAATGACTGATTCCAGCACAGGGCAGGGAAAACAGGAGTTGAGCCTGGAATATCTTGTTCTGCCAGAAAGCGGGGACATGCTGAAAGAATGCTGGGGATGAAGTGGAAGGACATCAGAGCCAGTTTGAATAGGCTCCCGCTGGCCAAGGATGGGACAATTTAAACATCAAAATACAGCAATGATAGCAACAAGCGTTTACCCATTGAACAAAATAGGAAACCATAGAAATATAAATGAACAAAAGAATAAATTGAAATTTTCATAAGGAACAGAAGGTGTCCAAAATTTCAAATTTCCTCCACAGAAACTATTTATTAACCATAACGAGGAAAGAGTATTTCACAGTTGGGAAGTTTGACAGACACTGCCTTAGTTAAGTGATCAAAATGAACATTATCAGCAATGTAACAAACCGAGATTATGAGTCACTTGATTAGATGCAATTAAAAGAATGAAGCAGGGCCAGCCCGGTGGGCAGCGGTTAAGTGCACATGTTCCACTTTGGTAGCACCGGGTTCAGCGGTTCAGATTCCGGGTGAGGACATGGCGCCACTTGGCAAGCCATGCTGTGGTAGGCGTCCCATATATAAAGTAGAGGAAGATGGGCACGGATGTGAGCTCAGGGCCAGTCTTCCCCAGCAAAAAGAGGAGGATTGGTGGCAGATGTTAGTTCAGGGCTAATCTTCCTCAAAGAAAAAAAATAGAATGTCGCATGACTTCTGTGCTATTTTTGCTGAAGATCAATAGCCTGATTTTAATTATGAAGACACATCAGACTTGACTCAAACCGAAAGACATTCTACAAAATAACTGCTTATAATCTTCAGAAGAGCCAAGGCCGTAAAAGTCTGGCCTGAGGAACTGTCCAGACTGAAGTACACAACAAAGATGTGACAACGAAACGCAAAGGGAGATTCTGGATAGATTCTTTGCTATAAAATACATTATGAGGACACCTTGCAAAACTGGAATGCGGTCTGAGGATTAGTCAGCAGCAACATATTGACATTAATTTTGTGATGTTGATGGTTTATTGTGGCTGTGGAGGAGAGTTCTCTTGTGAATAGGAAATACATACTATTCAGAGGTGACAGAGCATTAGGTCAGAAACTTACTCAGGAAAAGAACAGTCCTTTTGCCGTACTTCCAACTTTTTTATAAGTTTGCGGTTGTTTCAAAATATTTTTAAAAAATGAAAAGACCAACTGTGCCAAGCAACCCAACCACGTTCAAGAACAAGGTCAAATTTACAAGTGCTGCTACAGTAATCTTTTCCCTCCCCCAAGAAAACAGTCAGGTGTATTTCAGTTGCCAAATATCAAATGTTTATTCTTTAGTTTCCTACTATTGCTAAAATCTATTTCATAATTAGCTCCTCTTAAGACCAGTTTTCATTTAACAGAAATTGTACCCTTTAATAATTCTCTGTGAAATATCCAGTACTGAGGGTGAGGATTCTTTAGGGCACAACTCTGACAACCAGGCCACCCGGCCACAAGGAGGGTCTCCTGCCCACCCGCCCCCACCCTCCCCAGAAAACTGCAAACGACTCAGGAACACCTCCGCAAAGCCAGCTGGGCATCCACATGAGCTGGAAACAGAGAACACCATACTTGATTCAAATTACAGTTTCAGTACTGTACTGTACACATCCAGCACTACACACGCTTAAAACAATATAAGCGTGCGTAATGACACGTTAGGTCTCACTTTTAAAGTAAAGTATAAGCAGGCCACTACAAATTTTAAAACTAGTAAATCATCTCATTTTACCTAAAGTTAAAAATATTGTTGCATACACACTGGCTGCTTCAGAAGCCTTGGTTGGTCATGCAGACACAAAGTGGAGAAAATATTTCAGCTAAGAATAACCACATTACATGTGTTTAAGAATCTTTCCAATCAAATCATATTCAAAGGAAGACTATCTCGAAGGGCCAGGGCCAGTTTCCAGGCTGAATGGTTTCTAGGAGAATGGATCATGCTGAGGTCCCCTGGCACATCTATGCTTCTTTGTAGATCCTGGAGGTACAAGTGCAGGCAGACCCACTGTGGTCCCCAGGGTGACTTCAGCCTCTGGGGGCAAGAGCACCTGGTTGTCCCTGGCTCAAGAGAGTCTCTCAGGCCTTGGAATGCCACCCAGGTCTGGACGGCTGCTCCGGGCCCATGGGGGCCATTCCAGCCTGTCAAGCCCAGAGGCAGCGCGGCTGCAGTTTGCCGGTAGCCCAGGGAGCTGCTGCTCTCGGCTGAACGGATCATTGGCTCTCACCCCAGGACAGTGCTGGACTGTGGAAGGTGGATCTGTCGGTTTGTTTGCGATTTTAATATGATCTACAAAAAAGGCCTAACTTGCAATTAATAGCACCATGAAAAAATATATAATGGTAGAAAACAGTATCATAAAATGAAGTCGCTTTTGATTCTGGGCAATGTTTCCTACCACTAATGTCAACAAGTCAACAAAGTAAACCATTTTAACTAAATTTGGGAAAAGAAGATAAATAAGATGTCTTTCCGGAGCAAAAATATGCTTTTAGGGAAAATATAGGCAAGATGTGTTCATTAGGCTGCAACTGTATATCTATGTAATTGAGCAGCAGAGGGAAAAATGTAGACATAGCTCCCTACTCAGAGTGTCTGTCAAGTAGGCATGTAGAAGCATTTTTAAAAAAGAAAACTGAGGGCAGAAGAGGCATCTAAACTCTTGGTGGAGTGGTCACTGGGGGTTCGGAAGATGCAGAAGAGCGCTGTGCACTAACGCATCAGCATGCTGCAGTTACACATCTACGCTTGAGAAATCAAATAACTACTGTCTGATTGAAAAAGGAATGCCCATCTCTACAGGAAGAAGAGGTAGTCTGTTAGTGAAACATGGACAGATGCTGGCCCTGGGCTGCCCTTTTGCTTTGCACATTCTTTAAAAAATTTTTGTAGATGTGTCTGTTTTACTAGCTGGCGCATTGCTAGAAGCAGATGTGCAGACAGGCATTCGCCCCAGTGAGGTCTATTTGTTGAGCACACATGAGCCGGGCTTTCTATAAAGCTAGTTGCGAGAGGGTGTTTGTCTTGAGAGAACTCAACAGGACTGAGGCAGTCTGTTAAGACCCCTATTGACTGATAGAGTCACTGGGCCAGATTGAACCAAACATGAGCAGAAGATGTATGTAGTCAAATCAAGTCAGATTCTCTGTGGTCCAGGAAATGAGGGAATCTTGCACTTCAAGTTGGAGGGAGCTGGCCAACGGGTTTCACGCCTGGGTGCCAGAGAGTTCCAAATGACGGCTCACATCTGTAACAGAAATTTAATAAGAATAGCAAGCTCTCCATGTGCCAATAGCCTTCAACAAACTTTCTCCTTTCCTCTGCCTCTTGTGAACACACACACACACACACACACACGTATGCACATACACACGCACACCCCATCCAAACTCTTCTTTATGCTTCAAGACCCAGGAGCAGTTCCACATTTTCCATGAAGTTTTACCCCAGCCCCCTCTCGACTCCTATAACACACATCATGTGAACTCTACACTTTGCAATTGAGTACTTCTGACACTATCACGTGACTCCACCTTCCATGCAAACACACCACCTCTCCCAATGGCATTACAAACTGAAGACAAGGACTGTCTTGGGTCTCCTCTTCCTCTGCCCAACACACGTTACTCAGCACAGCGCTATTCATGGAATAATCATACAATAAATATTTGACTTAGATGAAATATTCATTTATTTATTTAATAAACAACTCTTGAGCACCTGTTGTGTGCTAAGCCTGTAGAGTCAACTCTCTGGGGACCCATCCTCCAGAAATTGCATGAAGCCTATTTTGCGGAAGTGCTGAGTCGTGCTCTGCTTGGAATTGTGTGTGCATAATGCTTCCAGAATACAGATGGAAGACCCTGCCTATCCTCGAGAAGTTTGTGCTCTGGCCATTTTCACAGCTATTGTTTGTTCACCTCTCATTGCAAGGCATGTGCTAGGCTTGGTAGGTGGCTATGAAACTGCCGAACTTTGATTCCAGCTGCAGCTGGGGCGGACACTTCTGCACTCGCTGACCGTTCTAGCAAAACAGCCCTCCCATGCGTTTCTCTGCTTTTCTGCCTTAGGGCTTTCTCTGAAGACTTGAAAGCAGACTCATCCGGAGAACCTGGTGCAGCTCAAGGACGAGGGGGAATTAATGCCCCCTGCAGGCAATCCCAAGCCGGTGGGGATGGGAGCCGCTGGATAAATGCCCCACTTCCTATTCTTCTGAAGAACACTTCTGGGAGACCTCTGCACACGTCTCAGAGCTCCTGCGGCCTCTGCGAGACGTTGGTACTGCAACCTTCATTGCTTTCCCTCCCTGTCTGGCTCCCTCTCCCTGCTCCCTCACCGCTTCTTCCTGGGGTCACCATCCAAGTAAACTACTTGCACCCAGATCTCTGTCTCAGGGTCTGCCTCCAGGGGCCCAAACTAGGACAGAATACATTATTGTGAGCACGGAGATTGAGAGAAAAGATTTTTTTTCGATAGCAAAGTAATGAAACACAAGTTCTTCTCTAGGGTCAAAGCCACCGTCTTCACTCTCTGGGTCACCAAAGGAGTCACTGAACACCCTGGAGAGTCAGTTTCTCTCATCTGAAAGATAAGGAGGTGGACTACAGGAACACTTAGCTCCCTTCCCGTGCTACAATTTCATGACAACTGGATGCTGTGGGCATCTCTTTTGTACAGTCCTTCACCACTGAGTGCTGACAGAAGGGCAGTGGTGTCTGTCTCACTATCTGCCTCACGTCATTGCAACCTCAAAGGCAGAAGGCATACAAATTTTCCACAATCGATGCTTCAGACTTTCTGGATGTTCCTCAACATGACAGCACTCAAGTTGACAAAACTCACTCTCAATGGAAAATGTCCAAGTCCCACCTAACTGGCCTTCTGCGGCCACTCAGGCCCCCTAAACCTGCACATTCCTTACATCGAAATAACTGCATATCTTCACCGATTTCTCCTTCTTGCCTTTGGTGGCACCAGCCCAGATCTCTCTTCCACATCTCAGTCTAAAATCGGCATATGTCTGTGGAGCCTCACAGTGCCTCACTCAGTAATTTGCTTTTTTTTTTTTTTTTTGAGGAAGATTAGCCCTGAGCTAACATCTGCCGCCAATCCTCCTCTTTTTGCTGAGGAAGACTGGCCCTGAGCCAACATCCATGCCCATCTTCCTCTACTTTATATGTGGGACGCCTACCACAGCATGGCTTGCCAAGTGGTGCCATGTCCACACCCAGGATCCAAACCAGTGAACCCCGGGCCACCAAAGCAGAACGTGCGAACTTAACCACTGCACCACCAGGCCGGCCCCAGTAATTTGCATTTTTGACAAGGAAGACTTAGAATCATCCCAATTTTTGAAATATTAATTGGAAAACTGCCTTGATACAATAGTGGCTTATGAACTTTTGTCTGTTTATTTTTATTAGTGCTTTTACAAACTTACTGTTTGTTTGCTTTCAATGTACTTCAGAAAGCATAAATTCAGCGAAAGTGAAAATTCAGATTTTCACAAAAAAATACTAAAATTAGGCTTGAGAGACAGTTTCCCTTTCTTTAAAATTAAAATTCCAGGCTTAATGTGAAGCGCCCTTCCCTTCCCCAAAGCCCCAGTGGAGCTGTACCTGCGAGTCTAGGCTTCTTAGCCGTGTTCACCGCAGCCATGAACATGTATTCACTATTAGGGTCGTGCACACTGGGGCGAGGCTTCTGGAAGAAAAAGGCAGAAACATGGTTTGTCCGCTGCTCTTCCCCATCTCCAGCCCTGGTTTGCTGTTGCTGCTGCTGTTTGTTTTGGCTGTTCTCTGTTCTCTGATGAAGTCGTATGTAACAGCAGTGCTATAATGTGACCTAGGCTCCTGACTTCAGGCTAAGTAGGAAAAGGGCTTTAAATAAAAAGAGCTTTCTGCTGAACTTCCTTCCTCAATTTTGCCTTTATTTTTCCTTCCTCCCTAGACTGAGATCGTGGGCCCTACCCCACTCTCTTCCTTCTTGGTCTCTCTCGTCAAGTCCCATTCTGCACAGACAGCACCCCCTCCTCAGTGATGACCCTGTGGACATGCTGGAGCATCAGCAGACTTGCAGAATATGCACAAAGGTCTAAGTGTTTTCACTAAGAACCCACATCGTGAAAGACTAACCAGCATGCCCCCCAGCACAGAGAGATTTTTGTTGTCGTGACGGTTGGTGTTGTTTTATCTTTCTGCTTACTTTTCAGTGGTTTTCTTTAAAAGCAGGAAGTCCTAATAACTTACCAGGAAAAGTAGCTGGCCATTTCCTTCTTAGCTGCTCCTGGCACCTTATAGGACTTTCTCACTCATTGTTTTTCAATTGACCAGTTGAGTGAAACTTATAACTAATTCTTTCCTCTTTGCCCTGACCTCTTAGGAAGCTTAGAATCAAATTTGCAGCCCACGTTTAATAATTTTTAGAAGCCAGAAGCATCTATTTTTATGTTTTAACCTTCCCCCTGACTTCTTGTCTTCCTTGGACCCAATTTCCTTATCTCTTTTGAAGAATAATAATAATACATCTCTCTGTAAGCCATTGAATCTTTTTTGGAATAAAGTGGCTATAAAACAAATAAACCTTTGTTCCAAGTTAGTAATATAATTAGTAGATATATCTTGAGGAAAAGAAATGGTCTACCTATTGATCAAATTAATCTGGCAAGAGCAACACGTACTTTGATGAGTAAATAACCACTGGTATTCCTCAGTAAAACAGATGCAAGAAAAGGTAGAAATTGCTCACCTTTTTTACAAGGCAACATATAAGGACACAGGCAAAAATGTAGACCACCAGAAAAGCCGCACATCCTATGGGCAACCAGAGCTTCAGCTGGCAACAGAGCTGTGATTCTGGGTCGGGAAAAAGACACGTTAAGGAAAAACTCTGAGAATCAAATCTCCTCTTTCCGTGCTGAATCTCAAGTTCTTTTACCAAACTTAAAAGAGCTGTTTAATCAAATGACGCTTTTCTTCATCACAATCATGAAATCCACTAAATGGTAAATAACATCATTTTGGTATTACAGCAAGGATCCAAAACTAAAACCTAAAAGACTCTGTGTACATATATGTTTACAAATGTGGGTAACAAAGGGCTTATCTGTCTCTATTTTGCAAAAGTGTAAGTAGGGAAAGTAAAACTATTATATTCTAAGCAAGCCTTGTTGGGTTTTTTTGGTGTGGAAGATTGACCCTGAGCTAACATCTGTTGCCAATCTTTCTCTCGTTCTTTTTTCTCCCCAAAGCCTCAGGACATAGTTGTATATTCTAGTTGTAGGTCCTTCTAGTTCTTCTATGTGGGATGCTGCCACAGCATGGCTTGATCAGCGGTGCATAGGTTCCTGCCCAGGATCTGAACTTGTGAACCTGGGCTGCTGAAGTGGAGCACGTGAACTTAACCACTCAGCCATGGGGCTGGCCCCCTACAACTGTTATTTTCAATCATCTCTCACTTCAAATCCAGCACAAAACCCAAACCTTAAACATTAGGTAAATAGAGGTAATAGCCATTAAGACATGGGTTTGAGTATTTGTCTTAAATTCTTTTCCCTGATTTTAATGGCATATGTGTTTTAAAGACAACATGACCTATTTCTAACTCAGCAGTCTACGTGATTAAATTGCTTATTACTGATTAATGCTAATTATATTATTATTAATAAATCATCTCTAGCATATTTTCATCATAAATGATTGCCATCAAAGCACCTAAATGAACTCCAACACAAAATATATTTATTTGTTTCATTATTTTCATTGGTGAGGAAATTGTCAAAATGCGTATGTACTGTTAAGTCTGGCAAATGCAAACAACATCTTACCATAAATATGCAAATATTCTGTGCTAACAATCTCTTGAAAAGGAGGAGGATCAAAAATGAGGAGTTTGCAGGAGTAGTAGCTGGCATGAGAACGGTCCAGGTTATACAGGAAGAAAGAGACGCTGCTGTTGGACAGCTGAGACTGGCAGAGCTGCAGGTTCTTGACGGACACCGTGTTTCCACTCTCCTCCATCCTCGTGAGGTTGCAAAGTGGTTGCATCCCCTTCAGCAACTGCATTTTAAACTGCCGGACGGTCTCAGGATATTTGCATAAAATTTGGACACCCCCGTCATGAGCTATAAACATGTCCGACTTGGCAGAATCACCAATTTTCCCTGGATAAAAAGAAAGAAAACCGAGGAAACATAACGCTCTGTGAATATGTTGTGCTCATCATCATATTTGAACACAGAAGTCATCTCTTCATAAAGTCCCCTCTCGTGCCCCAAAATGAAAGAACTTCACAGCCAAAGGGAAAACTGTGCCCCAGAGAAACCTAACCAGATCTGTGCATGTCATATGTGAGCATATAATCTATAACACATTGAATGATACACAGGCACGGTAGGAATCACACAGATTGGTTCCTGCCCTCCGGCAGCTTTGATTATTGGAGACAGATGGTAAGCAAATAAATAGGCAGTAACGCCCCATCGCTCGTGCAAGGAGTGGAGTGCTACTGGAATAAAGCTGCTGGCTTGGGGTCTAATTTTGAGCGGAGAATCAGAAGATGCCACTTTAGCAGTGACTTTTAAAATTGAAATTGAGAAGGATTAACACTTAAACAAGGAAAGGTTTGAGGAAAGATGTGGTTTAGGACAAAAACTCTGAAAAGTACGAAACAGCTTAAGCTAAAAATGAATGACGGTATACATTTAGACTGTACCCTCCCACTAGAGAGCGAAAGAACGGATGAAGCATTTTCAAATGACAGAAATGTGTCTTCTCTGAACCTCGTCCATCAAAACTGAATCGAGGTCCGATAACAAAGGGAAACCCCAGGGGGCTGTTTAGTTTTTCATTTCTAAAATAAATTTTGAGCTTTTAGGAAGCCAAGGTTGTTTTTGTGAGCTGCGGAGGGATCACAGAGGGGAGACCAGAAATGGTTTTGGCCTGGTTGCAGATTCCGAGTTATTGGGTTTTAAGTGCAAAGTGTTCTTTGCCTTCCTTTTTCCTTTTTCTCTCCTCTTTTTCTTTTTTTAATATGAGAAAGTTTCATGCAGAAATTGGGAAAAATTATTAGCACAACAGTACTTTACTTAAGTTTGGAAATCTCTGTCTTTCTTCTTGAGAAAAGTATGCAACAAGTCTAAACAACATTTTTTAAGTCTTTGGTATTTCTTTTCCCTGGCAATGTAGTCATTTTTGTTGTTGTTTTTATTGTTGTTGTTGTTTTTGCAGGGGAAGATTCGCCCTGAGCCAATCTGTTGCCAATCTTCCTCCTTTTTCCCCCCCTCAAAGCCCCAGTACATAGGTGTATATAGCTGTAAGCCCTTCTGGTTCTTCTATGTGAGCTGCCAACACAGCATGGCTCCTGACAGACGAGTGGTGTGGTTCCATGCCTGGAAGTGAACCCAGGCTGCCAAAGCGGAGCATGCCAAACTCTAACCGTTAGGCCATCAAGGGAGGCTCATAAAGAATTTTTAAGAAAAAACAATTACCTAGTCCTCCAGTGAAATAGAAATATCATTTGTGTATTTTTGCTCTTTATACTTGTTTTATGTAATGGACATACTATTTTGTGTTCCGCTATTGTCAGTGAATGTTATATCATAAATATTCCATTTTTTACATAGTCATCATAATTACTCTTCTTAGTGACTATATAACAGGCCATGATGCTAATCTATCATAATTTATTAAAGCATTCCACTAATGGTGGATATCGGGGTTATTTTTAGCATTTTGGTTTTATGTAAATATTATGACATTTGGTCAAAATGTTTAAACATCATTATAACACTACGTATTGCCATACTGCTGTCCAGAAGAACTGCTCCAATTTATAAGAGAACTAGCCTTACGCCACAAGTCTGCTCGCACTGGCTGCCGTAAGCTTATTGAAGATTCACCACCGTTACTCATTTTCCCTAACACCTCTAGGCTTTCATTGATATCTCTCATATTACTAGGGAAGAGATTTTTGACTCAGGGAATTTGATTGTGAAAATACATGTGTCCTACTTTTCAGTTATGTCCAGATTATTCAACTGATTCCCACATCAAAACAACCAAAAATGCTGAAAAAAGTGTCTAAAAATATTATTAAAAGGATTAAAGAAATGACAAAAGGAAGAAAAATTACTAGGTTAAATTTGAAGAACCAGAGCCCAGAGAGATGAACAGAGCTGGAAAGCTGCTTTTACTCTAGGAGCATTTGCTGTTTCCCAGATTCAGACTTTTGTTTTTCTCTCTCAGCTCCCAGAGTCTACACAGTGAGAAATCCAGTAGAAGACCCTCCCTTTAACAATCTGGGATTCCGAAGAGTTTCATCCTTGGAGTACAGGTAAGCCAGAAGAAAACCAGCACTCATGCGGACTGAAGCCCAGCTTCAAATCACTTCAATGGTCCAGAAAACTTCAATCCTTGAACTTTGTTTAAGATGATTTTGGACTATTATTACCCCTAGGTTTTTGAAAGTAAAAATGCAAACTATTTCAGAGAGAAAAAATTTACATCCTAGGCCTCAAGTCCTTTCTACAAATAATATTTAAATACAATAAGTACACCATAAAAATAATCAGACATGCAAGGAAACACGATAACAAAAGCAGCAGACTACAGAAACAAACCCACAAGTAATTGCATATTTGAATTATCAGATCTCCAAAATAGAAGTAAAAGATAAAGGTGTAATAATATCTGCACAGCATAGGAAATTTCAAAAAAAAAGTCAACTAATTTGAAGAAGAATCGATTAGACAGGCAAAAAAACCCCCACACTAACTGAGATTAAAACTCAATGGATAGGTTAAGATCATATAGACAAGCTAAAGGGAGAGCTGATGAACTGGAAAATAGGTTAGAAAAATTATTCAGAATTAGCCGTAATTCACAGATTCAAGAATCCCAACAAATCACAAGCAGATTTTTTTTTCCTTTTTCTTTTTTTTTGAGGAAGATTAGCCCTGAGCTAACATCTGCTGCCAATCCTCCTCTTTTTTTTTTTGCTGAGGAAGACTGGCCCTGAGCTAACATCTGTGTCCATCTTCTTCCACTTTATATGTGGGACGCCTACACTGGATGGCTTGCCAAGCTGTGCCATGTCCACACGTGGGATCCAAAGTGGCAAACCCCGGGCCACCAAAGCGGAATGTGCACACTTAACCACTGCACCACTGGGCCAGCCCCACAAGTAGATTTTTTTTAACATGCACGTCTAGATATACCATAGTGAAAATCCTAAAAGCAGCCAGAGAAAAGAGATTGAGTACCTTCAAAGAAGCAGCTATTCGACTGACAGGTGATGTCTCAACATCAACAATAAAAGCCATGATACAGTAGAATTGGGTCTTATATCTTCAATGTGCTGAAAGAAATGACCTGTCAACCCAGAATATACTGTCGAGGAGAATAGTGAAGGTATTTGTAACTTGAAAATTTGATAAGCAAAGCACACATATTGCGATTTCTTGCTTAATGACTGAAAGAATAGGAACAGAAGATATAATCTAAGTGAATATCACACAATTCCATCTCATAGTGTGTATAAAGGAGGAGAAGAGCTGGGATCAGGAAGGAAAGCGCAAGAGTGGAAAGGCTTCTGTGTGCTGACAATGTTTCATCTCTTGACCTGTAGTGACTGTGGGAGTGCGGTGGTGCGCTTTATAATTATTCATTAAATTGTACATTGACATTTGTTCACTTTTCTGTATAGTGGTTTTGTCCTAGAATTAAAATCTTTAAAAGTATATAGAAGGAAAATAATGCTTGTTTCATTTTAAAAACAGAAGGAACAAGGTAAGCAAAAGCCAAAGGGGAAGGAAGCAACGCCCTGAGAAGAGGAGCAGTCCCCAGGCCATGAGAACGAAAGGGGTGTTGCCTGCGGACATGCTTGTCTGAAAGTAGATTCTGTTGCACTACTGTTGTTTTGACACTTATGTCTCTACCATCTGCTGCAGACATTAAAATCAGGGGGCTGGTTCTCAGTTCCTTTAGAAACGTTCAGAGCAAATTTCCCAAGGACTTGAGAATGGCAGCCAGTAAACCACAAAGAGATCTTGGAGCAAAAGTGTCTGCGGCCGCCGTGTGCACACACAGTGGTAGACGCAGTGTCTTCTGTTTCTCAAGATGGTTTGTCAGCAGCTTTTTCCCCTCTTGTGCCCATGCTGTGACTTATAACCAAACGCCAAGATAAAATGTAATCGTCGGTGGAAGTCCAATGCAGCGGTTCCCAAGGAAACCAGAGGCAAATTCTGGCTTTGCCATTAGCAAGCCTCTGTGACTAGGGAACCCCTCTGGACTTCAGTCTCTTCATCTGTGAAAAAGGAAATGAGACCAAAATCTCTTAAAGTTCTTTCCAACACTTATTCCCTCTGGATCCAGGATCAGAACATATTCAGATGAGATCACAAACAACTGAGAGAGCCATTGCTTTGCTGTTGGGTCCTCCAGAGGAGAAGTCATGTTCCCATAATCCTGTCTCTGCCCCAGCATAATACTGGGCTGTTCCAGGGAGCCAGGAGAAATGAAAACTAATGAGACTACCTTCCTTGCCCATAAAAGTATTCAGCTGTGGCTAGGAAGACTCCCACAGTTTTGCCCCAGTGGCAGCGCCAAGGGTGCATGCCACTGACGTCAGAGAAGTCACTGGGGGTTCCAAAGTGTCATTTCTACTGGACAGGCTGAATTTTTCATTTTCTCATTTTTAGTCTAAAAACTGCCTGAGTCGCCTTTTTATTATTCACTGTGTTGATAGGAAGTTTTTGTATCCCTAGTGCTTACTCCTTTTAGCTGGAAAGCCATTTGGCAACTCGAAATCTGCGGTTTAACTGTTTTCAATCAAAGGAACCAGATACGGCATCTGACCAATTGCTCCCTAGTTACCTTGGCACCTATAGAACAGGTGTGCTCCAACGCCTGATCACAAATTCCCCTTAGCCTTGGTGACATTTGAAGAGCAGTGTCAAAGCAGATCACTACTACAACCATGACTAAAACATTTCATGAATAGACAGACAAGTTAAGGAAAATCTGAACACACAAGTTTCTTATAACTGAAGAAGCAGCTAGAATCTTTTCTCCACCTTCCCTGGGGTTCTCATCTCCAAGTCTAATATTCAACCAGGAGTACTAGTATGATAGCACCAGTTTTTATAGCCAGTGTCTGTTTTGA